TACAAAAACAACAATAAACATTTTTCTTCCTGATTTTTTTTTCTTCAAAAAAGCATATAAAATGAATGGACAGCAAGAATGTGTGTAATTTAGCATTAAAATAGATAATCTACAGTGTCAAAATTTAAAATCTAAACTAACTGATTAACAGCAGGTGTAACCACTAAAGAAAAGCATCACCTTTGAACCGACCTGCTCCTGAATGTTGAGCAGAGAAAACAGGCAATTGCGATGGACAAGCTGCTCGAGGAGGTGGAGGAACTGGAGTGAGCGGTGTCATCTCAACAGGACTAACAATGAAAGGAATGGCCCTCAGTTCACTTGGTGTGTGTGTGTCTGCAGAGCTGAGGCTACTCAGACTTCTTTCAGGGTCCTCCTGATTCCAAAAGGGGTCATCCAAACAGTTCCAGCTTCCCTGGACTATCTCTGGAGAGCCTGCGCATTGCTCAGGTAAAGGTGGGAGTTGCACAGCATAATCTCTGGGTCTCTGTGCGATATGCAATGTGTCTGCCTGTTGAAAGAACACATTTATCTTACTGCTCTGAGCTTTGTGAAAGTCCAGGATCCCGGACTCTGTGGTGAAGCGCTGACAGTTGCTCTGTCTACAGTGACTTACACAAAAATTACACTGTGCAAAGCAGCAAAATATAACACATCTCTCAGAAACATTTACATTTGATCAGCAGACAAGTCAAGAATGAGTATGTTTAGTTACTTACATCTCCACCTGTGCGTTTTCTCTGAATCAAATCTTGAAAGCCATGGAAAAAGTTACCTGATGTATTTTCAGACATGCCTGAGATAAAAAGTGAACAAATTGTTTAGAAACAGAAAGTTTGTGAGTGCTGCTCAGTGTTTGAGTGACAAGTTCTAACTCAGCTGCTCAGTAAAACAGTTATGATGATGTCATATGGAACTCACAGAGCATTTTTTGAAAATATTCATATATATACACTATTTTGTGTTTTTACAAAAATATCAGACATGTCTAAATCAAAGGCAGCTTATGATCTCTAATTATGATCTTTAATCAACAAATTTAAATAGATGTCCTAATCACAGCTTCTAAAACTAGACAACACTATACTGATAAATTTATATAAAACAGCAAAAAGGAGATAAAAGCACTGTCATAAATAGAGAAATAAGTACAGTAAATAAATAAATACAGTTTTTAAAAAATACAGAAAAAAACGTGTCATTTGCTACAACAACAACAACGACAACAAAATAGCAGCTTGGACAAAGGTGTTTCTTCAAGCTTCGCCTCCATTTAGGGGCTGCAAACCTCTGTCCCAAAGGAAGAAGCTGAAATCCTCCAATAAGGGGTGGGAGTCCTTTAAAGTAGAGTAACTCATCCTCTACAACTGCCTAGTATTCAAGGACTCTATGTTAAAAGGCTAGGTGGCCTTGCGCAGGTACCTTTTATGCTTTTTGCTATTTTACACACAAAATCTATGCCATTGCTATAAAATGCTGTTGCTGAATCTTAATTCAGTCAAGTTGTGATTTTAAACTTTGTGCCCGAGGAACATTAAAAAGCGTTAATGTTAACGTAACAGGTTAATGTATGCGTGTAATAAAGAAAAAGAAAAAGAAAATACCAACGAGAGAAAGAAAATGATGAAAGCAAAGAAAATAAAAGTGTGGAAGTGTGAGTGAGAAATTGTCTCCGACTGGGGGAAGCAGTGACGCTACAGGTCACCTTCTTCCCCTGCTGGACACAAAAAGAAAACATAATTTGGTGTGTGGTGGATGAAAATAATTAATAACAACATGAAGAAGGTTTTTGTGTTTGCGGTTAAAAAACAAATAAAATTTCACCTTTGGGGTTTAAAGTCAGTAGAGTTCATAACGGAATAAGCAGAGATGTGTTGCTTTAGGAGTGATGAAAACATATGCAGTCACAGTGACTAATGAAAGTCTCTCAGTCTGTCGTTTACAGGTGGGGAACGGAACTGGATCAATTCTCCACGGGCAGCAGTCGGAAGAAAATTATAGGCTGAAATCATTAGAAACAAAATAGAAACACCCAGCCAGAATTTTTGGCTGAATTGTTTTGCAGCTTCCCGTCCTCATCCTGAACAAGCAAGCTCCAAGGAAGCTGATCTCTCCCTGAAGACACCGAGTGCAGTTTCAGAAGCACGAGCATGAACATCAACAGTGGACAGGAGTCCAAGAGACAATATCAGAGTTCTGAGCAGAGAGGTCCAGCAGCGCTGTGGGCAAACGGCATCAGAAAGAGAAGAACCACCATCTAGATTGGATGGATGGAGATGCGTTTCCAGCCAGCTGCAACCTCACTGTGTGTGAAGGACTTTTGAGAAGACTGTCTGAGTTTGACATTTGCCATGTTTGGAGTGAGATGGCAATGAAAGAGACAGTGGGACAAAGAGAGACACGGGACAAAGCTGAAGAAAACTGACTGCCATTGGACTGAAAAGTGGGAGAGAAAGGAGCAGAAGAGGGCTGAGGCTGCTGTTTTAGTGTGGGCAATCAAATTAGGTTAAGGAATCCGGGGAGACAAACGACTGCCTGGAAGTGGAGGATTGACACAGTGTCCAGACCACCACAAAAGGTAGAGGAAGACAAGCACTGAGGTATGCAAGTGTACTGTTAGAAAAATGGAAAGTGACACCACACATGCAGCTAATATGCACCAGAGATAACATAAAATTATACATAAAGTGTTACACATTAAAAGAGGGCATTTGTAGGAGGGGTTAACAATACTCAGCGTGGTTGCCGACGGTAACCTGCAAGCATTTAGGGTTTAGCTGTGCCTGACTATGACAGAGTTTTTCATTTAGATGTTTCTGAAACAAACTTTGGAGTGAACGGAGTTTTGTTTCAGAAAAAAGGGGGAAGGTACATGAAAGGATACATAAAAACAGAAAATGTATTAACCCGACTAACACACACACACACACACACACACACACACACACACACACACACGTAATGAAGTAATGCAATTCATTAGGATTGGCTCATTAGGATCAAACACAATTTTAAGTAGGCAATACTGTTACCATCATCCTGTCTGGTTTAGTGAGTGGGTTGAGAACTGATACATAGATGACGGAATTAGTATTATTTTGGGGAACATGATAGCAGGGTGAACAGAATCCTGCAGCCAGAGTTTAAATGAGTGAAACTAGCAGATTTTTGTTTTGTTTTGTTTTGGGTGTCTGAAGTATGGGGAAGGTTTTACCAGGGCACCAAGTTTGAGAGTTGGTATTTTTATTTTTTTATTTTTATTTTTTTCACTTATAAGAGAAATAATATTCGGTGACAAGTCCTAAGACCCGGGCTTATTTTTTATTTAATTTTGTTTTAAAGCTTTATTTTTGATTTTTGATTTTATTTTGATAAAATAAATTTCGGCAGTAAGAGTGATTTAATGATTGGAGAAATCCTGAACATGATACTTGTCTGTTGTGATGAATACTTTCTCACTCTCATGATCTATAGTTGGTTGTGAATAAGATGTTTGATTTAACAGATTTGTTTTCCAGGATACAGGTTGCAGGTGGAGCAAATGAGCTTAACATGTAACTGCTGACTAACGTTTTTACACAGGGTTACAGGTTGGCGGAAGATTGTTTAAGGGAGAAGGTGTAACGTTCTTGTTCAGGTCTCAGTGGGGAGTTGACACATGGCAGAAGCTAGGTGCAAGAGGAGGGTCATTTTAATTTGTAGGTGTCGTGAGGTGCCATGACGAGACGTGAGTGAGGAAGGGCGCCTACAGGATGGAAGCGGAGGCCAGGATAGAGGCTTGAGGAGGATCAGTGATCATCTTGAGGAACAGCAGAAATGGTACAGGCGGCTGTGCTACTGAGCTTCCAGAAGACTGAGAGGAGTCTTCTTACAGCAACGTTTTAAATAAAATGAGAGATTCATCATGGACATTGAGGAAGACAACTAAGGTGTACGACGTGCTCTGCCTTAAATCTTCAGCAGCGTTGGAACATGAGAATCTGAGGGATGAAGGGAGTGTGCCAAGCTCCAGAAGTGACGGCTCGTACCACAACAGCGGTCCAGTTGAAGGGGACAGGCGAGACTTAGTTCCATTGGTCTCAATGTGCAGTAGCAGATGAGAGCTTGGTGGAGACGAGCTCATCTCTAAATAACATGGGAGGCAAAACAGAGGCAGAATAACCCTCTGACCCATGCAACGACTAACCAGTAGTCTACCTGGGAAGTTGAAGAAAGAAGAGAAGGATCGCAGAGCATCATTTCACTCAAAGAGGAGGTGGCTGAGTGGCCCGAGGAGTGAGACATTAAGAGGAATGTTGGCCTCTTCGAGGCCAAAGAGGAGGAGTGTCGAGATGAAATATTATTGTATATTCATAATCTATGTTACTATGCATAATCCTTATTATTACTGTTGCATCATTTATGATTTATCATTGTTATCATTTCATTGACACATTTATGGAAACTGGTGAGGTTATATTGAAGTCTGTATTTCAGGGGTTAGCATAAGCACATAATAATCTTTCATTGCAGGTGCAACTGTAATCATGTTATACACATATTGCATAATTAAAGGGTTGAAGCTTGGTTAAGTTAATTAATGGTTTGAAGCTACGGGCATCAATGGAGCAAAGTTCAAGCTGGAAGGATTGCTTATCTATATATATACAATTTAACAAATGTTTTCTATGATTGTTTAAGAAAGGAAATAAAGGCCGTGTGCCCTGTGCTGTGGATGTTTGCACAGTAACAGATGAGGTAGAGGGAGGTCATGCACTTAAATTAACACACAGACATAGCCTGTCTGGGTAAACTGTTTGCAAGTGTTGTTTAAGTCTAATAAGTAGAATAAATAGATGTCTCTGGAGGAACTGAGAGAGGAACTGTTCTGTTTTAGTGACGCGAGTTACTGGTCATCATAAGTAAATATCACAACCACCTATTGTAAGGGGGGAGATGGAGCCTGATTGTTTTGCAGTGCCTATCTTCACCGAATATATGTGTTTTAATAAAATAATTTGTGTTGACCCACTATAGACTTTCAGTCGTATGTCTCTTCCTCAAAATTCGAACCGCGACACTCTATATACTCTAAGTACCAATACATTTGCGCTTTAGCTCATTAAAAACTCTTATTGTGTAAAATAAATACAGAGACTTCCGCTTTAACCGGGACTACTGACGGGTAACTTTAGTGTTTAAACGCGTGGGGCGTCTGCTGGCACTTTGTTCTGTCCGAGGCACGTTCATCAGCTGGTATCATGGTTCACGAAGTGAAAGATCTGGTAAGTTTGTCTTTTTTGTTGTTTTCTGTGCCTCTCTCCCTTATATGGTGAGAGGCGCATTCCTAATAAGTGAATGGATGTTTTTACGCTCCACTGTTTTGTGTCGGAGCAGCCGCGCGCAGGTGTGCCAAAACGTGATCGTCTACCAAAAAGGGATTATCCGCATTTAAACTGCTGTAAATGACTTGTTGGCCTGCAAAATATGAAATATATGTCAAAGATATCCATGAATAATATAAATTCATCTTGAGCTACAAACAACCTTCCAGTCACGCGTTAGAAGCCGCAATCGTCTCTGGTGAAGTGGCACCCTTTATTTATCTAGTTAAAAGTTCTCACTGATATTAAAATGTCTTTTTAAAGAAAGATCTGGACAAGAGGGCAGCAGAAATCGCAGCAAATATAACAATAGTTATATAAAGAAGGTTTTAATTGGCCAAAAGGAAATATACACGAAAAACTGATTTTACATATAGCACTTTAATAACCTGTTCACTAAAGTCTATTCATCAATATAAGTCAATACGTTACACATAAACCCTCGCCCCATCGAAACATTAGAAATCACCTTTTGGGAGACAATCAGTTCTTCACACAACACCTGTGCTCCACACGCGGCCATAAGTGTACACGTTGTTTAGGTAAATTTCCAGGAAAGGCAGGCAGTCTTCCCGAACCCTGTTGTAACTGATTGTATTGCATTTGTACGGAAATAAACTTTACAAAGGTCAGCGGATCACAGCATCACCAGATCAGTGACTCTTACATGCAGCCATCAAAGGCCATCCTGAGCAGGGAATCCCTCGGTTAGCAGGGCTGGACTAGTAAACTGGCATCCCGCCCTACAAAGCACCGGCAACTGCCCATCCATTAATTTTCATCACTAACACTGGATTGCACAATCAAAACTCCTAATGCAATCGGGACTTTCCCAGCCTTCCCTGCGCGCTCACGCAGCTTGCAGAACAGAATTTAGCGTGGAAGAAGTGGTTGATACAAGTGGACAAACAAAACTTATAGGATGGAGCTGAAAAGCTGAGAGAGAGAAAGAAATTAGAAATAGATGCAGCAAAATGTGTCAAATGAACCAACATGTGAACTGTCGTGGCTGCAGCTGCACCGTCAACAGTAGCACCAGCAACAAGTATGAACAAGCCCTCAGTCAGAAGAGGCTGCTGCTGTTAGCTCTGTTGCAGTTCATTTGAGCATGTTTCAGTCTCTACCATTTACCCATCCAAAAAATCATGTCTTTTCTATTTCTCTCTGTAGGATGAGTTCCAGAAAATTCTGAATGAAGCTGGAGACAAGCTGGTGGTGGTGGACTTCACAGCCGAGTGGTGTGGCCCCTGCCAAATGATGGCCCCAATTTTTTGTGTATGTGATGTTAAATTTAAAATCACGTTATTTATTTATTTATTTTTTTTAGCTTATTGCCTCATGAGCTTTTGCATGTCCAAAATTCATGAGAATCTCAAGTTTCATTCTGTCCCTCACACATTACAATAACTTTAGTCAGAGTAACCTATAGTACTGATGCTCTAGCCCCCCATTTGACATTATGCAGAGCTTCATTGTGATCCCCATGCAACTGCAGCAATGTGACAATTAAATAAGAGAACCTATTCACAAGGATGAAAACTCTTGTGATGTCGCAGAAGATGTAGTGTGCGTGCTCTCGTGTCGACTCAGTGATCTTCCCTCCTGCAGGAGATGTCACAGGAGCCTGTCAACGCAAACGTGATTTTCCTGAAGGTGGACGCGACTGATGGCAGGGTAAGCCCGTGTTTGACTTGGAAGCCAGGAGAAGCAGTAGGATTACTTCATCTGCTGCTGAACCCACTTTAGCTTCCCTTGTGTGGATTTATTTTATTTCTGTTTTCATGTCATTGCATGAAAATAAAAGTCATAGGTTTCTAGCTTAGTTAAACATTTATTTTTCTCTTGGAAGAACTCCTAGCTGACTCATGTGACCATCTGTCAGCAACTGCTTTGGTGCGGATTAAACAACACAGACTGTAATGCAACAAGCTTTCACTCTGCACAACTGGCAACACTGAAGTCTGAAGGAGAGACTGTCTGATGTAGACAGGCTCTTGGGTAACCTATAATTAATATGCATAAAAGCTGCAGAAGCCTGTGTTTTTCACAATATTTTTAATGTATTTATTTGCACATGTTTTGGCCTCTCGCCACATCTACAGCTGCCCAAGGTGGTCTGAAGCGGCCGTAGTCAGTGGCGATCAGTGTTGATGACCCGGTCAGCTCATCTGATATCGTTGCGTTGTCTTTCAGGATGTGAAGTCATTCTATAATGTCACCCGCATGCCTGCATTTCACTTTTACAAGAATAACCAGAAGGTAAGGTAAAGTGCCCTATGTAGCTGGATGGAGATGTTTAGCATGTAGTAAATTTGAGCCTGGAAACAATGAGCCTTGTGCAATGACTATTATAATCTCAGTATTATTTTCAACTGGCACATATAAGATCAATGTTGCCCTAAGGATTCCCTCTTAATCTTGCACAGAAAACCTTTAAAGGCAGATCATACATGAATCATTTAATATTTTCTAATGGCTTAAACGGCAAAGCAAATATCCTTTCCAACCAATGGAGGCAAGCTTGAAGCCATACCTCCATTCAGATTCAAGACTCAAGATTCAAGAGCTTTATTGTCAATACAGTAGTATACACAGTACACAGTGTACTGAAATGCTGTTTCACCCTAGGCTCCCCATGGTGCATTTATAAATTTATAAAGGATATATGGTCTCAGGATTAAAGAAACTGAGTTAAATCACATTTAAGTCAAGGTTTGGGTTGTTAGTGATAAGCCGATTGTGTCCTATTTTACAATTCATTGAGGATAAATGGAAAATTATGTCATTTTTTACATGCCATTTTTAACTCAATGTCCTCCTCTTTCAGGTGTATGAGTTCACCGGTGCTGATGAAGCTCAACTACATCAAAAAGTGAGAGAGCTCAGATGAGATGTCCCACCAAAAACAAAATCTGCCTCACATATCTTTGATATTACTGTGTTACTCATGACAATGAAGTCTATCCCACACAGTCAATAATACATCCACATATCTTGTAACAGACCAAACAACTGTTATCTCATGTTAGACGAATGTGTTTTATTTTATTATATTTCTTTCTTGTTTGTCTGTACAAATACGTGTGTGTGTGTATATCTACACATATATTCGTATTCGTAAATGAAAATACATGTAGACGAGTATATATTGGTTTTTTTTGTTTGTTTTATTATGTCTGAAATAAATAAAGATACAAATACAAATACAAATGTCCCTGTCTTAACTGGCTGCAATATGAAACCGCTCAATACTTTTAATTCCGTTTTTAATGACAGTTTGGCTGTGATCCTGAATTACTTTGTATGTTTTGTGTTCAAAAAGTTTAATAAATGAATTATGAATGGATTGGTATTTTGTACTTTGATAAAAATGTCAGAATAGTACAAGTATGTAGCAGCATATGTTGGAGCTGGCAGTTAACAGCAGACACTATATCGCTGGTGAACGTGATGTGTTGGTTCATTAGCGCATTTTGAAAACCAGCCAACAACTGCATGATGTAGCAAAGGTTTGGGCAATTTGCAGGAAATTGGCTCACGTCTGTGGACTGCTTGCGAGAAGTTCTTGTGTTAGACCCTCCTACAGCCACTGAACTCACTTGTTCCCACTTTACACCAACAGGTTGTTGTTACTGTGCTTTTTGAGCACCAGCATTTGTGTCTTTCTTCAAATGCATGAACTGGATCTTAATTAGGTACTGGTATCATGCCAAACCAGTGGTTAAAACCGGCTTTTCAGGCTGCTGTTCTACTGTGTGTCAGTGAGCCTTTGTTTGAGCACAAGTGAGGAAGAGGACACACACACACACACACAATAAATATCAAATTAAGATTTGAGAAATGCTTTGTGTAACACACAGATAGTCTCTACTCTAAGTGTGTCTTACACAACCAGACGTGCAGCTATACAGTGATGAAGATACTCAATAGAAATTCAGTGAAATAGGAAAACATGAGTCTTGAGAACGAGGTCTGCAGCAGCTTTGGGCCATTTAACCTCACACACACAAACAAAGTCAGCACAAACACATCAGGACAGCAACAGTGTGTGCAGGGAGGCAGGAAAGAGCACAAACACAACCACTGTTCAGGGAAACTTTGCCTGGATCCAGCCTAAGATTTTAATATCTCATATGTAAAACATCTGAACGGTCATTTGAGTTTCAGACTGCACACAGGGACTCAGTGTGGAGCCCAATCCATGTTTTGACTTCTGCTTAAGTATCTGTACTTGTGTACAGATAAGAACGAGTCCAACATGCACCAGACAGACAGATAAACACGTATTTGTCCATTTGGTAAGAGCAGCTCTGAAGTCCTCTGTGTTAGTCTGATAAATGCAACATCTCATCTTATTATAAAATAAATGTGATCAACAGGAACCTGATTTCAGGCTGATATAATTGTCTTCATGTTTTTCTTTCAAATGTGACCTTTCTATTGAACTGGTGGGAGTCAGAATAAAGAGTCAAGAATCAGGTTCTTGAACCCTGAATAAAACTACTAAAGTCTTGCATGGCTGATTTTTTAAATACCAAATGTTTTAACATATAACAAGTATTTTTAACAAAATGTCTTAAAACAATGCCACTTGAGTATTTTTGCCTAGTTATCCAAAACAATGAGATAAATGCACCTCAGGCTGTTACTCAGGTATGTGAAACTGCTGTGTCATCAGAAGTTGTTTTTCTTGTTTAATGGTGAGGTTGTTCCTGGATCCAGTCTACAGAAAGTATTCACACAGTTCATGATACAGAGAAAAATAAGAGTTGGTGGAACTTCCTTTTACGTTGACTACCTGAAACACAGAGGTAGGAAATCACCCAGAGACCTCACCCCAAATCTTAGTAACCTAACCTGCTTCCATACAGCTGTTTCCTGTGGACTGTCTTTCACTATAGCGAGTTCTTTCTTCTCCTGCATTGTGTTGGTTTTTATACATCACATTTCATTGTCTGTGTTTACCCTGAGGTTTAAAAGACCTGTGTGTTTCACTCTGTTGCCCTTGTGAAGCACTTGTGTAACATGGATCACATTACTTAAAACATATCCCAACTTATTTGTAGCATGTCTGGAAATGTTTCTTAGCTCTGAGCGACAGGTCACTCCTGATGTATGACTCAAAAACCAGCACATTTCAACAAACTCAGATTAACCCAGATTAAGAGCAGCTGAGTGTGTGACTTCTTGTCACAGCACAGGGCTGACAGGACTTATAAACTTATAATGTACATAAAATACACAGTGACTTAAAAGAAATCAATAAATACACAAACACTTCACCTTCCTCAGACTGCATGAGTAACTGGAACCACTCACTGCCGTCCAGTCGTTCTCTAAAAGTGAACATTAACTTTCTTAAAAGTGCTTTAAAAGTCCAAACACCCACAGCTACAAACATCTGACTGGCACTACCCCCTCTAGCTATCCTGACCACACGGGGCCAGTATATAATAGTATGCAACAAACAAACAGAGCTCACATCGTTGTCTGTATATGTCATCATCATCATTTATTTGGTCAGTAGCAAAGTAACCGAGGTATTTCCCCTTTTTGAAATAGAAAATCTGTTAAACCCCTGGACTAAAGAAAAAATGCTCCAAGTGGGCAATGTGCTAATTTTCAGATGGCAGGTCTACATCTAGAATCAAAATGAGCATAAACACCAACAACCAACGTGTAGCATTAAGACGAAACATAGCAATGTCAAAAAGGATCCACACATTTGGGCCACAAAATAGACGTAAATTGACTAAAATAAGACACAAATCAGACAAAAATAGATGCAGCATGATCACAAACACACACATGTTGCCTCATATTGATGCCAAATGACTAAAATCACACGTGCAACACTTTCTACATATTTGACAACAGAAGAAAAACACAAACAAAGTTGGAATGTATTTTTAATTTAGATTTTTTTTATTTCATGCCAAATTAGATATTTTAAATATCAAGCGCCAAATCACAAAGTCTCCTCCCTGTTTGTACTGTAAGGTCAAAACCCTGCAGTACTACAGAGAACCCCCAACAATCAAATGATCCCCCTCTGAGCAAGTACTAGGCGACTGTGGGGAAGAAAAACTCCCTTTAAAAGGAAGAAACTTCCAACGGAACCGGGCTCAGAAGGGGCGGCCATCCGCTGCGACCGGTTGGGGGGATGGAAATCAAAAAGGAGACGAGATGGCGTGAACTACAGTTGTTAAAATTTGGATTAGATGCTAAAATTCTGCTTAAAGATGTTAAAAGAAGCAGGGCAGCGGGGGAAGCCAGAATGTCATTTTAATCATCTCTGGCTTTAGTGAACCACCTAAAGGGTTTTCGCAGAGCTTTTCCCACCGCTGAAAAAAACCTGGAAATTTTGGACTTTTTGGGAGGACTGTGGATGACTCCGAGGCGGATTTTTAGATGCTTTACCAGAGCCTCATCAAAAGACGAATCATTTGCCATCGCAGCCTTTAACACATTGTCTGGGGAGCCAAACTCCTTGATGAGGCATTTGGCTATTTTCTTGATTAACTTTTTCCTGTTATTTGTCAGACTTGTGGTGGACTCTGTGCTGATGAGTTCAGGCCGCATCAGGTCATTCACACGGTTGATGACCACGTGTAGTTCTTTTGTAGTAGATGCGGTTCTGGCAAAAAAGTGTTGAGTTTCACGTTTAGATTTTTTGATGAGTCTCATCATGAGGATAATGGTGAGGTCATTGCAAATTTTCTCAGCATCAGAAGATGACACTGATACGGAACGCATCTCTGACAGGTCAGAGGAATCCTTGAGAACGCCTGAAACGCTGGCAGAGCATTTTTCTGAGGTCATGCTCCCAGATTTTGGTGTTACAGGTAATGGAACAGATTCTCTTCCACTGCCATCTGAATCTGTGCTTTCCTTTGTTGGGGTCCTTGTTCTTTTAATAATGTTCTGGATGTCTTCCACAGTGACAGAGACCTTGTCCTCAATCATTTGATCTACGTCTTCGTTCTCCACCAAGAGTAAGCGTTTTTGTAAAAACTTTTCTACTGCGTCTTCTACAAGGACATAGAGGACTTCAGCAGAAAAGGGACGCTTAGAGCCATGTGCTGGCTGTGGAGTCCTGGAGATGACGGTGTTTGAGAGGGATCTACCCATTAGAGGTTTGGGGATTTGATACAGTCGATCCGTCATAAGTAGATCAAACACTTTTGCTGTTAACTTCACAGTAAAATCTCTGGTTGCCTCACTGTGTCTAATGTTTCCCAATGTTTTGTGGACGAGGAAGAGTTTTTCTTTCTTTGTTAATTTCTCAAATAACTCATTAACGTCTTATCTAATGTTGTCAAAGTCGACTGGAGAAGAACGTATGTAACAAAGCAGTGTGTTTCGTGAAGGGGCTCGATGAGCTCTGTACTGTGGGACCCTGGGAGGCTGAAAGCCACACTTTCATCTGAGGGCACTGTTTCATACTTGTGGAACCTGCAAATGTTTTTTAGACAAACAACAAATTTCCTGTTTGCCTTTATTACTTTTCTCAGCTCTTTTTCCATTTTTTCAAATTGTTTTTTCGCAAACATGGAAAAGCGGTGTTTGCGTGCTTTGAGCCCGGAGTGAGAGGTGGATGGCAAACATCTGGAGAAGAAGTCTCTCAGCTTGTTGATAATTAATCCTGCATGAAAGGCAGGTTTGGGCAAGCTACACCTCTTACAGAGCTCTTCGCTGCTTGAACCCGTGTTCCCAAGGATCTCATTTACGATGTCAGCTGCAACCACTTCTGCTGGGGTTGGAGCTCGGATACCTTGCCTTTCTGCAGCTGGTTTTATTTCTTCTTGTTCTCTTAGAGCTGATTCGCCCGGGAGCTCAATTTCTTCCTCGTCCTTATCGGTCATCTGTCCATCTGAGCTCCTTGATGACAGAATCACAGAAATCTCTGTGATTGCACTGACGTCTTTGAATCTGTACTTTCTGTACCGGAATCAGACCCGCTTGGCATGCACCTGCAGCGCAGCTTACGTGCTACATGCCTTTTAAGGCACGAGGCAGCGTGACAAACCATGCGGTGCAGCTTTTTAATATTGCTTAATTTCCCGCTAACATAAATGACAGGGTCTTGCGTGAGATCGGGGCTTTCGCCATTTTAGCAGGCCAAACAAACGGCTAAAGGAGCGAAAGCATCAGCAATTGTTCGCATTTGCTGTGTTGTCGGTTGAACTGTTAGATCGGGAAGGGAATGAGCTGAAAATGGGCTCTCTTTTTATCCTTCCCCCACCTGGAAGCAACGTGAGGAATGTTACCAGAAGAATGCATCTAGCCTGCCTGGATAGCATCTGTGAGACGAGCTGATATCCAGTTCTCTACTATCCACGGATAACTGGAAATTGTGCTCCAGACATTTTCATTCAGGTAAGTTCTAAATATGTTCATATTACTCTTTATAGCCTTTTTTGTAGTTTTATAGTTTTATTTTCAATACATTCTGTCATAGCAAATTAGAACAAACATCCTAGGTGATTTTCTATTTATAGATTTGCTAATTGTTTTTCATTATTGCAGCAAACCAGCCTATGAAATGGATGAAACACATCCTGACTGGGTTCCTATGGCGTTATTTTTGTGCCACTATTCTGAGCGCACGTAAAAAAAAAAAAATTGAGCACGCAATACAGTACAAACGCAATATCCCAGAATCCATTTCGTCCAAAACTCAAAGGAGGCAGTGGCGGAGGAACACAGAGTGACGGAGTTTGAAATATTACTCTTTCTGGGTCACAAAATAAACTTTAAAGATATTTTCATGCGAGAATGATGCTGTGTAAACTTCTAATATCTGCTCGATTTATCAAGACATCACATATTTGCATAAGTGCTCTAACGTTTTCGGAGATACATTTTCATTCAGGTATTTAGAACTTACCTGAATGAAAATGTCTGGAGCACATTTTTGCAGATAGTGTGTTATTTACCATAAAGTGATGCAGAGTTATTCATACCAGAGTAACAAGAGAGGATCATATATTTTTAAATATATAACTTTCTACAGGACTGAATATAATATCTTTATGTAGAAGCCTGGAGCCTTTGGGGAGTATCCGAATATTTATAACATTACACAAACCAAAGGTCTCCATCACAGTGTTCATGAAATGCTGGGTTTATCCATCTTCTGGGGCGAGCCTACAGAGGAGTGCTGAAGATTTCCCTGTGAGGGAGCTGCTGGTGAAGATCCTGCTTGATCAATGCGATGAGCTTCAGTGTTCCTGGTGTTTCTTAAATGAAGCCTCTTTCAGTGGGCCAACAGAACTTCTGGCACAGGACAGCTGTGATGAAAGAAAGGCAAGAAGTTTCTCCAAACCTCTGGACCCAGAAACCCAGCTTGGTCCTGATGGTCTCCCTCACTAGTTTCTCTCCAGGGTTAATGTAGCTGTTGATATAATATGGACTCTATTATTAAATGAACAGAACAAATTAGACTACACTACTGAAACGTTCTGCTGCTGTTTTTAAAGTTTCCATGTTACCAGGCTGTAGAGATTTAAACAGTTTTAGATCCATTACACTCTCAGTCTTCTGTTAAAATCTGAAAGGACAGCATTATATTTTTGATATTAACAGTAACTCTGGTCTTCTGCAGAGTGTGCAGATGATCTCATCGCTGTCTAAAAATGGATAAAACATAAGAAGTGCTGAATCCTTCAATAACACAGACTATCCGGTTGTTCAGTGATGACGCGACAAATCCTACTTCCGGGTCTAAAGTAGCTTTTGTGTTGTTAACATGTTTAATGTTATGTATTTTCTTCTATTTGATCTCAAAAAGCTTCTAAAACAGTCAGTGATCACTGTTGACCTCCCTCGGCTTTTATTACCGCTAATCATTTATTTAAGCTCAGTTTTTAAAACCTTAGGATGTAACTACAGCCCAGCCCATGCAGCAGTATATGAACGACTAACCTCGTATTGTGGATGGATTATCTCAGTTGTTCTCCTGGCTGAAGTTTGGTCCTTTTACAGTATCCTGCCATGCGATTACATTTGTTCCTGACCACCGAGAACACTCACGTTAACTTTTATCAGTGGAAAAAAAGTTAGCTTGTTTATATTATGCTAACATAGCTGTGTCGCTAGCGGTCACGTAGCACATCATTATATACCAGCTAGCCCAACTTCAGTAACCCTACAAACGTCACTGCGGTTTAGTTTTCTGTCTTCATTCATGCTGGAAGTGATAGCAGAGCTGTACCTTTGAATTTGTTTCCAAAACCCCGCAGTCAGGACATGCTATATTGTATTTAGATAGAAGCTAGCGAGCTAACTCCCTGCTAACTTCTAACTCCGTTAAATGTCATAAATTCCGTTTTCATGGATGCCTGGATGTTAAACTCAATTGTTACACCTGGTAGAGCAGAACGCTGATCATTTTATTAAAGATGAAAAACTTTAGACAGTTTTTCAACTCTCAGTAATGCCATAGTGATCGTTTGATATATGGACCTGCAGCGGAGTTTAGACCCAGACACGGCTAGTGACGTCAGACTGAACAACCGGATTAGAGTAGCAGGTGTGTAGCATCGCTAACTAGCTAGCAACAAGCCTCCAACACAGTGCGTATGCTAGCGGCTAATCTAACTAACGAATTAACAACAGAGCGATTTTAGATGTTTTAGAACTATAAGATGATAAGCTGTGTGTCTATTTTTTATAACAGTGACATGGTTGTATTTACCTTAATTAAACGAGTCGTCAGTCGCGGTAAACCAGCAAAAGAATTCGAGCAGCCGCCGGGCTAAGTAAAAGTGTAGAGGGGCGTGTTTGCAGTCACGTCCAGCGGGTGTGTGGGTGGGAGCATTACACAGTCGCTCCACCTCAAGTCACTACTGCGCAGACTCTGGCTCCAAATTTGCAAGATGGCAGCCTCCACAAGCGGGATATTTTGGCTTCATTTTTGCACAATGGGAGGAGGCGGTGCCGCGTCGTCCATCTTTTCTACAGTCAATGGTTTTGATTGAGAGCCTTTTTTGGGGGGCAGCTGGAGAGGAGAAGTCTATCTTATGGCCAACCACTTGTCATGGTCCGGGTGAGCGCGGGGTTTTTCCACTCCGCTGGGTTCTACCTTCAGGCAGAGACTCCAATCAGCTTCCATACCTGGTTCCAATCAAGTCACCTGCATATAAGACCAGCATTCACAACAGACCTCTGCCAGATCTTCTGCTAACCCATGACCCACCTGGCAGTCACGTTTCCCGAGCTACTCTCATCGCCGCCTGGACGCTGGTTCTGTCATCTGGTTTCTTCCTCTCCACCATCGGACTACACCTGCCTGCCTCCCTGCCAAGTCCCTCACTCCACGCATATTCTGGATCCTCTCTGGACACTCCTCACCCGGAACCCCCTGGACACCCCTTCCTTGCATGACACTTTAAACCTGCAACGCGTAAGCCCTAACCTCCATAGCCTAATCCTGCAGCTGTGATTCACTGGACTGCCACTGACTACTTGTCTCTTCTCATTATAGTGACTGCGTACCTCCATCCAAGCCGCTGCCCCTCTTTTCCATCCGTGAAATCCAGCACCTAGCCATAGCACTCAGTTTCATGTTCACAGTTTGGCCTCACAGTTCACAGCAATTCATAATTCATAGCATTCATAGTCTCCTGTTGTGTAATTTCACTAGACACTTGTAAATAAAGCACTGTGTTCACGCCCGTTTGCCTCCCTCTGTGTCTGCATTTGAGTCCACACCCACAGCCGGGCCCTCTCGGCCGTAACACCACTGACTGTATCTTGGTCATATTACCCAGCAAAACCCAGTATGCAGGTTCATCTGTAACAGTCCTTGTATAACTATATCAGGCTTAGTCAATAGCGGTTGGTCTTCAGGGTTTCTACTCCACTGCCGTTATTTCATACGGGTCCACATTTCCAATGCAAGGTATTTTTTGCAAGTACCATCTCTTTGCATTTGAATCTGTGTCTATAACGTCCTTTGTCTTTTTAGCTGCTTTTAAGTATGGTTTGTAGCAATCTTCCTTCCAACACGGAGGGGGGGTTGCATTCGCTGAAATGGTGCCGCACTCCCACAATGCATTGCAGCGTGACATCACCTACAAAGTCCTATACCGATACTCTGAACAAAAACATGTTTCATTGTATTTCATAATACAATATATAATTCTATTATGTAATTGTAATAATATAGCTTCATAATGATTACAGGACATCAGACTACTTGTTCTTCTTGCTTAATGATGCAGAATGATCATATAGAAATAAAAAACCTGAAGTTTTGCGCTATTTGAACACGTTGCCTGCCTGCAGCACTACAGGACTCCGCAAGAGACGTCTGTTTTGCCCTAGCAGCACCTGTCCCTCTCCTCCTCTTCAGTTTGCTTCAACATAAGCTCGTCATATTCTGTGATATGATTTACTCTGATGTGTTTGACGAGGTAAGTGGTGTTGCCACAAAACCTCACTGTGATGCCACATGCATCGCAAACCAAGTCTTGACTGTTTGTGGAGGTAAAATACGTCCACACATGACTCCGTTTAGGCTCAGTCACTGTTGTGAGTGCGCACGCCAGGGGCTGTGACACATTTCTACAGCTGTATTTCACATATGACTATGAAAGGTGTAAGAGGAAGTAGTTCCTTCCCATTTAGACGATCCGAATGATATAGTTTCTTTTCACTGTGTTCCTGTTAATGAAAAACTACAAATTTACCCCAAAGTACTAAAATATCGATATTTTAATATGAGAATAGATTCTAGAACCACACTGTTCACCACAGCAAAGTGAAAGTCTTACAGTTATCACCATTTTCTCCTTCTTAAGGAAATTTTCAATTCTAGAGATTAAAAGTTTCACTCTTCCAATTGTGGATGGTTTGTTTCAGATGTAGCTTTAATGATTTATTATAAAGTAATGCTGTTTAGATTAGAAATCACATTTCTAAATCCCAGAGTTGCTTTAATCTTTGATATCATTGTGATTATAAAAGTAATCAGGAATTTGAAATGTTAATGTGGAATTATTGTTTTCCATAGTTATTGATTAATCCTTCATTAATTGATAGATTGTGTAATAATGGCAGTTATTAGTAATGCTGGCTCTCTTGCATTGAACTCTTCAGACTGCGACGATGGCCTTGCCGGTGTTTTCTCCCTGCAGCATCCCCATAAAAGCAGCCGGCATGTTTTCAAAGCCTTTTGTGACGTGCTCCCGACACTGCAGTTTGCCCTGTGGACGCACAATAAATGGATCACAAATACAATACATCACAACAGAAACATGGGGAAGCATGTTTATATCTTTATTTAAAAGAAAGGCTCACACTAACCTCTTTCACCCATGCTAACAGTCTCTTGAGGGTCTCAGGGTGCTTGTGCTCCCACCTACTTTGCAAGAATCCCTCCATCTTCAGCTCCTTAAAGATCATGGTGAAGTAGGGATACGGACCTAAAACACAGGCCGTTCAAGAGAAAAATTTAACCCATCTTTCACTCACAGAAACTACAGTTCATGTCTACAATAACCATCTGTGTGCCTCCACAGCACTTGTGGATCTTTAGCAGTGCAGCTTCTCCCTCTAGTGGAAAAAACACATGAATACAGAAGAAGTTGTTGCAGGTGTATTAAATGCATTTTGTGTTCTTCACAGTGCTGTGTGTGGGCCTTTGGGGTCCAGGCCCCCTCCAGAAAGGTCACTGTTCCACTTCAGTCTAATACCATCTACATACCTTTATACCTGTAATTCAAATGAATCCCTAAAGTTTGGTCATGAAAGCTCTGAACACCCCAGCTGGCAACAAGAATGAGATCATTCATCAGCGTGCACAGAGCCGACTCACAAATTATCAGTAAAACTTGATCTATACAGCATGTTGTGATATTTTTATTCAAAAGTGCTTCACAACAAAAATGCTGAACATAAAAACCAGAGTGTGGGACACACTGTTTTCAGCCTTGAACAATGTACAGACAGCACGCCCTGATCACATGACCTCAGGGAGTAGCTGGTTATGTGTGTGTCATCCCGGGCCAGGGTGGTTTGTTTTAGGTTTGCCTTTTTTCACATGAGATGTAGGCTTTTGTCATTTTTAATCTTTTAATTATATTCTTAAGTGTGATTTTTAGTTCTTATAGCTTATCACATGCTTTTATTGTGTTTTTAATCTGTTTCTGGGAGTCACCTTACACCAGGGGTAGGCAACTCCAGGCCTCGAGGGCCGGTGTCCTGCAGGTTTTAGATATCATCCTGTGTCAACCCACCTGAATCAAATGATTAGTTCATTACCAGCCTGTGGAGAACTTCAAGACATGTTGAGGAGGTCATTTAGCCATTTAAATCAGATGTGTTGGATCAAGGACACATCTAAAACCTGCAGGACACCGGCACTCGAGCCCTGGAGTTGCCTACCCCTGCCTTACACTTATTTGGTATTTGGTAATTTATTTCAACATGTGAACAATATACAAGTACATTTAGAAAAGAAATAAGAGAGAAAAAAAATACTATACAAATTACATACAAAAAAAACCAAAAACATTCTGATTAATTTACATGTTGAAATCATCCTTATGTGCGAGAGTTCATGTCCTGGAAGGACTCCGCCCTTGACCAATCAGGGTGAGCTCTTCGGTCACCAAAAACCAATAAGAGGGTTTTGAAAGTGCTAGACAGATGTGGTGGTCTGCCTGGTGGTCGTGTCTGTGCACTAACCCTGGTTGTTCCCTAGCAGGAACAAAACTCTCAGGAGTTTTTAAAATAAAAAGTAAGTTAGGGCAGTAACAAACCTGTCTGGGGTTGGCTGTCATTGTAGGTGGAGATACTTCCACACACAGCTATTCTTCCGAAGTTCTTCATCTGCTGCAGGACGACATCTGACGAAGGGCCTCCCACCTAAAACCAAGCAGCAGTGTCACTTACACGCATTGTAACGTGCTGTGAGGAATGCAGTGTGAATGCAAGAGAAGAGTAGAGCAATGATTAAATATTAAATGCAAGCTTGAAACTGCACCACCACTGCTCACGTTTTCAAAGAAGCAGTCGTATCCTTCAGGTGAAGCCTTCCTCAGAGCCTCCTCCAAGGAACCCACAGTTTTGTAGTTGAAGACCTCATCAAATCCCAGCTCTTTGAGGTAAGCCACTTTGGCATCAGAGCCTGTCGAGCCCACCACCTTACAGCCCTTGATCTTGGCGATCTGTCCCACCACGGAGCCCACCGCTCCAGCTGCAGCGTTCACCAGCAGGGTCTCACCCTCCTTTAGACCCAACACGTCTTCTATCCCATAAACAGCCGTCAGTCTGCAGAGAGACAGAAACAGTAAATCCAGCTGTTGCCTCTTTGATTGCCAGATTAATTATATACACAAAGATCACTGCTTACAAACTCTGCTTCAGCTCATCAGCAAAACATCTGGAGTTAGCCACTTACATATATTTATATTCTTAAAATAAAACTATTTCCTGCTCATTACTTACTCTGGTGTCTATTACCATGTTTAGCTGACCTCTTAAACACCTTACAAACACTTAAAAGGAAAGTATTACATCACTAAGATGAATTTCTCAAATGCTTTTAGTTTACATTTAAGATTCAGCTGATATAACTTCACATCGATCTATCTGCTGGAAAAGTCAGAACATCCTGCCACGATTTAACATCCAATAGAAAGTGACTATGATCCATGCAGGTTACTTAAATCTGTCTTACCCGGGCATCCCGATGGCACCCAGAGCCAGAGACAGGGACACATCTTTAGGCCACTCGGACAGGATGGGAGTGAGGCCGGTCCCATCACTGAGCGTGTGGGTTCTCCACCCGCTGTCACTCACAACGTGGCTTCCCACAGGAAACGCTGGATTTTTACTCTGGATCACTCTAAAGGAAAACAGTAACATAATATTAAAAAAAAACAAAAAAGCTTTCACCTGTTTTCACTTCAGTCTGTCCTGTCACTGGGATAATTCAGTTTGCAAACAGTCAGAACACAAAATTAATCTGTGCAAATATTAATTTTGGTGGTGGGCGTCTTTGTTTCAAGTTTGTCTTTGTAACAAAGTCTTGAAGTTACCTGGTCATCAGTGTGATTTTGTGCTTTTTCACATTAATCCCGACATTTCAATCAATTTAATCTGCTCCCCAAGCAAGCATAGCAGTAGGAATCTGTGTTTCTTTTATTATCTGCATTTTTGAATCCCTGGCATAGAAAAATGATATACACTAAATGTTAAAGCAACAAAGTAAAGGTACAGTTGTCTTCTCAGATTCTTCTATGATTTCAGCTGTTAATCAGGCCAGAAAGTTTCAGTGTTTCTTTTCATGTTCAGCTTGAGACTTCACAGGAACTTTACTTATCAGAGGGTTTATGTCGCTGTGTTATTAACAGCAGATACAGACTGTGTCAGTAAACGTACACATCACAGCACATCATGCAAGTTTTCTGTGTGCAGGTGTGTTTGTGTTTCTTACTTGGCCACCTGACCTCCGATCATCACATCTCCCTCCTTCATGTGGGTTTTGCTGAAGGGCCTGTTGGGACCAGGGGTGTGTTACAATATGCATTTATATCAGGAGCATTAAAGTAGTTCAGTAATGAGTGACGCTGCTCTCTGATCACCTCATGTACGGGTCGACACTGAGAAACACAGCTTCCAACAGCACCTCTGTAAACAAAACTAAACTCATTTAAAGTGCTCGATGCTTAATGTTTGACAAAAACTGAAGAAGGTGCTCTCCTGTAGAGAGAAAGAAGAAAGACATACCTCCATCTTTGGGCTCCGGGAGCTCCTCCACCTTCAGCCCAAAGTCACTTTTCTTTGGGAAGCCGTCAAAGTGCTGAGTCATTACCCATGACTTAGCTTTCACCATGATTCTTCTTTTTTTATGGCCGCTGTAAAGAAATATTGCCCGTCACTGTTATCAACAGACATGAAAGTGCTGAGTCATCCAGCGCTGTGCAAAATAGAGCTGAATAAAACCTGAAGTGTGACGTTCACTCTGTGACGTTTAGCTGTGGTGAGCATCAAACAGCACAAATCATTTTCTAGTTTAGAGTTGATGAGTGACCTAGCTGTGGTTATAAGAACAATTCAAATGAAATGCAGACATCTTTATCACACAAACACAAACATTCACACACAAGTTCTTTGAGTGCTGGGAGTAGAAAGAGAGTGGTGTCCATTCACATACAAGTATGCACACTTAAAAACAGGAAGGATCTTTCTTTCCCAAGAAACGAAGAAAAAAGGAGAAGTCTAAAGTTTAATGCGTTTGAGTTTCAGACTTTAGAACCACAGTGAACGTATACTTTCTTTGTGTTTTAATTAAACAATGGTGAAACAATACAATGGGCCATTAAACTGTTGTATCAAATATTTTATGGTCGGTAGCGAGATAATGGCTTAGGCAAAGGCTTAAAAGTGATAACTAATCCCTGCGTCTGTTTGCTACTTCTCTTCAGCGTCACCTGATCCAGAAAAATAGTATTTAATGCATTTCACTAACAGCTCTCTACCTTCTAAAGCTGGAACTCACCAGTCGCCTCTCTTCTCACAGAAATAGTAGAAGATGTGGGGTCCGTGTGGGTGGAAGTGGGCAGAGACAGGTTTGTGAAAGCTTAAAAGAAGACATGGCAGGAGACGTTCTTTTATTCCTAAATCTGATTGGCTAAAAGTATTGTGCACACCTTCTGAGCTGTGAGAGAGGGTACCCTGCCAATAAGGTTCAAGATATTTACTTTAACTTTTACATACTGTTCGGGTTAAATTTGAGCCATCTTTGAAATTTGACAGCAGTAAAAAATAGTTACATTTTTTTTTATTCTGAAATTTTATGACCTTTCCTAAAGTACCAAAAGACACAAAAACACATTTTTCCTGGACATTCAGTGTGCTCTAGAATCAAATTTGACCTGTAACTATTTATGTATCTATTCAGGTCAAACACATGGAGCTACCCACTGTGGCGACTCCTTGTTAATAAGGAAGCAGATAAAAGTAGCTTTAAATCCTTTACTTAAAAACAAAACAAAACTCTGTTCTTGCCGAGTTTTGAAGTCTGTAAATCTAAATCTTCTAGTTCTAAACCACATTTTGTTGTTTTCAACAACAACAAAAAAAAAGAAATATATATCAGAGGTTTGACTTTTAATGCTCAGGGGCCCGTTCTTCGTACCTCGCTAAGTAAGTTAGCTGGATTTGATTGTTGACGATTTCGCGTGATCTTGGATCGTTCGGTTCCCCGAAGCTCATCCGCGACTTGCTGTCATAGCAACAGAGCTGCTCGGGAGCAGGTTTACTTTATGTAAACAGGATTAGATCGCGGCCACTCAGGTATGTCCGCGTCATTTACACGAAAACAACAGCGATATTTTACCACTGTTTTTCCATAAATAAAAAACATCAATGTAACTAAAGATAATGCAGCACTTGACCCTTTTATTGATTCCATACAGATACATACAGGTCATTTCCTTAAAAAAGGGAAATGTACCATTAATCATTCTATTTCATGTATTTGATTATTCCAGATGTAATTCATATTTTAGAGTACCGTAGTAATAGTAAATTACTTCGTGTAATCAAGATGAGAGACCACGGCTATAAAAGCGAAGGTGGATTTGGGAAGCCTGTCGCAGCCATGTCCTGTCCGTATACGCGAGCCACCCATTGCGGAAGGTGCAAGATTGATAAGGAGAGTCCTCAGAATTCAGCGTATATTGCGGGATAGACAGGATCCTTTAGCTCAGCGCGACAGTGTGCTCATAGAGAGATATCGATATTCCCGTGAGGGTATTATTTACTTAACCAACTTGTTGATGAGGGGGTGCAGGACCACCACCTGTCTTTTTTTGCTCTGCCCTTTTCTTGGTTGCTGTTATAAACAAACAAACAGATTATTTCAGGGTCTCTTTTCAAGAGACTAAAAGCAATATAAGTGATAAATATTACCATTCTGTAGAATATTCTTATATTTCACTTTTACTTGTTCCCATGTTCTAGTGGGTCCTGTTGTGGCTCTAATGTGAAAGAGGATATAATGTAATATAATATAATATAATATAATATAGTGTAATATAATATATAATATAATATAATATAATGTAATATAGTGTAATATAATAAATTACCCTACCGCCTACTGGTGTTGGCCAGAGGGGCCGATGGCGCGATATGGCAGCCTGGCTTCAGTCAGTCTGCCCCAGGGCAGCTGTGGCTACAACCGTAGCTGCCTCCACTGTGAGAGTGACTGAATAGTGGCATTGTAAAGCGCTTTGGGTGCCTTGAAAAGCGCTATATCAATCCACTCCATTAGTATTATTATTAAATTACTTACGAGTTTAATTTGTCAGCAACTTTCTGCCAGCCCTCTCTCCTTGCTTTTGCAGCCTTTGCAGTGTTCCCTTGCATTCTGATTAAACTCTGAAACTCCTGAAATCCCTCACTCAAGAGTTCTTGCTCTGCTGCCGAAAAATACCGAGCGCGCCCCTTCGACATTTTCGCCGATCAATCAAAGGGTTGCCGATCAATGTTTCTACTATCGATGCGTAGCCCCTGTTAAGCCACCCAGTGATCTCACATTACTTCATCCAGCTGTACTAACGTCAACAACAGGTGTGTTCGGAGAACCGGAATAGCGAGCTCAAAGTTAGCGCGATGATTTGATCTTGGATGTAGTAAGCGAAGTACGAAGAACGGACCCCAGGGTTATAAAGCAGTGTTTCGTGAAAAAACAAAAACCCTGAGATTAAGGAAACTATGGCTTTTTGTTTTTTCCTGACAAAGATATCTCGCTTAAACCCTGTGCCAGTTACCAAGGTAACACAATCTGTGATCTTAACCTGCTCTCTGGCAGGTTTTCTTCAACAAACTCTCCCCTCCGCCTTCAGTCAATTTCAGTTTATACTGCTAATATCAGAGCACATACCAGAGCGCATTAATATGCAAAAGCTTTTGCTGAAATCCCAGATGGAAACATAAAAATGAACAAACTAAGTTTCTCCAGCTTTCTGGATGGCAAGCCAGCCATCAGTTTGGCAGCCAGTTTCACTGCACTGGGTGAAGACTAACTTTAAAGAGAAGTGTTGGTTACATGCTCTCAATAGATTTAAAAGTAGAATGGGAGGCAGAGCCTTCAGCTTTCAGGCCCCTCTTCTGTGGAAGCAGCTCCCAGTTTGGATTCAGGAGACAGACACCCTCTCTACCATCAAGATTAGACTTAAAACTTTCTTTTTTGATAAAACATACAGTTAGTCCTGGATCAGCTGACCCCGACTCCTCTGTTAGTTACGCTGCAATTCGTCAAGGCCGCTGGGGGATTTTGTCAGGACCCAGCATTTTGTGTTTATTTTTGTATTTGTGATTTCTTATATTATATTGAAAGGATGTTAAGTTCTAGTATTATTATTAGTTTGACTCAATAAGACTCAAAAAGAAGTTTATTGTCATTTCGTATGGTGTTACCCAGCCTGAAATGAAATACTGTTTCTCACCAGCCTCTACGGTGCAATAAACAATACAGTCCAATAAATAATGCAGTTTAAAAAGAATACGTTTAAAAAGAGCAGTAAAAGGCAGTAATGAATTGCAACAATAGTTATGGATAAATAACATAAAATCTAAATTCTAAAACAAACTCAAGTCACATTCATTCGGGTGGAGAGCAGCAGTCCTTTCACGGAAGGGGATGATTAAATTAGGTCGTGTGTGTATCTGGGGAGTGTATTGTATGTGTGTACGTGTGTGCGTGTGTAGATAGGGAGCATTACAGTCCGTTTGTGGACCTCACAGTGTAGCTGTGTGAATGGCTGTGTGGGTGGGATGGGGGGCAGAGTCCGTTTATCATTCTCACGGCTTGTGCAATCCAGCATCCTGGTGGTTCTGCAGCTGATGGAGAACAGGCCATGCGAGGGGTGGTGGGGGTCTCTGATGATGGATATAGCTCTGTGTATGCAGCGCTGTTTGTAGATCTCCTCCAGAGATGAGAGAGGGGCACCAACAATCCTCATGGCAGTCTTAACCATCCTATTAAGTTGACGCTTCTCGTAGGACTTTCCCAGTCTTTGAGTTTAGTTTTCGCACTACTTGCTTTCGCTTTTTTTTTTTTTTTTTTTTTTGGTATTCTTGTCGAATAAAAGGGTTTAAACCAAAACCAGCCTATAATAAACAGCTCACTTTGTTTAAACCCTTTTTTCATCTCCCTCTGTGTCAGCGCTTAGGTCCTTTTCTTCACTCTACACGCAGTCAGCGACAGATTCCCATGATGGAATGAGTGTTTCTTCTTCATGTATTTTTTTTTTTTTAATACACCTTTGCATTTCATCATTATTTGTCTCCCTTCACAGGGTGTCTTGTCCAGTCTTCCTCTCATCACCCCTAAATGGCAGGGACAGATGGTTGCTCCATCCTGTACCTGGTTTTGCCAGCGGTTCCTTCCTGTTAAGAGGGAGTTTTCCTTCCCACTGTCACCCAAGTGCTCGCTCGTCTGATTAAGGGTTTCTCTGTCTTATTGTAGTCTTTATGTAACGCAAAGTTAGATAAGGGCTAGTTTTATTGCAATTGGTGAGTTTACTGACTGACGCGCAGAAGAAATAGTTCTGTATGGAGCCTAGATGGTGTGAATGACGAGACCAGAGAATGCAAATTATATTTTTGAAAACCCCAAAATATATTGAATAAATGGGGGGAAAGGGGAAATGGAACAAAATAATAAATACAAAACACAAAATAAATGTACCACAATTAACTAATAACTAATGTTGTGATTCTCTGTGCAAGAGTCCTTTCGGTCCTTTTTTTGAAGTTTCTTTTCAAGTTCAATTTTAAGGAACTCCTCCTTAGGGTCCAGCTTCATGTAATGGGCAAAATAGGTCCGTAATCAAAAGACTGCGAACTGGGTGAAAAGAGGGGAAAAGAATGGTCCTACCGGCTCGCCACTTCAATATGAAAATGATCGATTCAGTGTGGGGAAAAAAAAACCCTGACCTGTAGGCCAGAAAAATGCCCATTAGCACATCAAGTTCAACAAATCATTTTTTCTGTAATTCTGTGCAACAATGTGAATCATCATCATATTTCACAAAGGTACAATGGTTAAATTATTAATCATTTTGGCTACGTAGCATAATATATACATTCCAGTAGCGTTCACTACAAACAAATACAAAAACGACAATAAAGAAACAGACAGCATCGCCAAATTCAAGGCAACACATAACAATAATCAGTCAATTGCACTTTGTTTCAAAGAAAGCCCATTTAAGTGCTTAAATAAATAAAAGTGTTCAAAAACAGCAGTTTTCGAACCGGAGTTCTGCTCGCGGTGGGAACGCACCAAATGAAGTAGTTTTAATCGCGGAAACGATCGACTCGTTACTGACAACTAAAACGTTGTTTTTGGTAGATGTTAAGGACACTCACCGCTAAGGTGATAAGATTTTATAGACGAACTGAGGGGAGAAAACGCTGTTTTTACAACGCCGTTAACTTACAGCCAAGGGAGGCGACGAACCCGGAAGTATCCCTCCACAGCCGGTTTTCATCCTTGCCGCGACTTGGAAGGAGCAAATCAGGAGAGGGACCTCAAATCAGCTGACGTGGGTCATGTGACAGTGCGTAGTTGATATCGGTTATATTTACCTTAAAATATAAAGCATCTTGGGGTAACTGTTGTTGTGAAGAGTCTGATATAAATACCACTGAATAAAAGTAGGATGGGATCTGGCACTTTCATGTTGAAATGTGCAATAGACGTTTTAAAGCTTGAAATTTGAACCTCAACATATTTTCTGCTGCAAATCACCAAAATCAAGCTTTAAAGTTATTAAATAGTTTTGAATTTTATGGGGAATAAGTTCCTAAGATAATCAGCCAAAATTTATTGAGATGCAAGTGATTTCTGGGGACACTGTAAATTAAATATTTTGCTGCACTTTGTTGATGGTCCTGACTCAGCCTCCTGCAGAGCCTTGCCCAGCTCAGAAGATGAGTTTGTGATTAAAATCTGAGTTGTAATTTGATTACTTCAATACAGATGGAAAGAAATCATTCAAACAACTATACTTTAGTGTACTTACTAACTTTTGTGCTTGCCTGTGCAGAGACGAGCTGCACACGTACTGCAAAATCATATTTCAACAAGTAACGCTTTAGTGGAAAACAAGCTGGGATGTAAGTTGCTCTTGCCTTTGATATGGGAGTCCCAAGAAGCAGAACCTGCAAAACATCAGATTCATACTGTATAGCAAGCCACAGAATTGTTGTTTCACAAGGAAAAAAACCAAACAAAGAAAAAACAAAAAAACAACAACTTTATACACAGAAAGGTCCAGTAAACACAAAGCATGCGGTTAATCATTCTGCAGTAAATAATGTGTACACGTAGCAGCCAGACATCTGCACTGATCGTAACAGAATGATGTCCTTTGACCAATTTCCTTTTTTCTTGAGTAAAATTTCATTCAGGTTTCAGTCTAAATGTAAACTACAATCACAATTTCAATGTAATATTTCAGATTTAACTAACAATTCGTTATGAACGACTGATTTCTGACTAGAAATCACATTTCTTTGAATGACTAAAGTGTACAAGAGTCGCTCGACTGCTGTTTCGATGAGTACCAATACACTAAAAAAACAAAACAAAACAAGAAAAACAAGTGAAATGTTAATGTGAAATTATTCTGTTATGGTGATTGCTCGATTCTTCATTAATTGATAGATTGTGTAATAATGGCAGTTATTAGTAATGCTGGCTCTCTTGCATTGAACTCTTCAGACTGCGACGACGGCCTTGCCCATGTTTTCTCCCCGCATCATCCCCATAAAAGCAGCCGGCATGTTTTCAAAGCCTTTTGTGACGTGCTCCCGACACTGCAGTTTGCCCTGTGGACGCACAATACACACATCACAAATACAATACATCACAACAGAAACATGGGGAACTGATGTTTACATCTTTACTTAAAGGAAAGGCTCCCACTAACCTCTTTCACCCATGCTAACAGTCTCTTGAGGGTCTCAGGGTGCTTGTGCTGCCTGCTGCTTTGCATAAATCCCTCCATCTTCAGCTCCTTTATGATCATAGTGAAGTAGGGATACGGACCTAAAACACAGGTCATTAAAGAGAGAAAAATATAAAACATATTTCACAGCAAGGAAACTACAATCCATATCTAAAATAACTCTGTGTGCCTCCACAGCTTTTAAAGCACACTTCAGTAGTGCAATGTCTCCCTCTAGTGGAAAACAACAATAATACATGAGAAATTTTAATGGGTGTATTAACTGCATTTCTGATTATAAGAAGGAATTAAGCTAATTGAAGAAAGCATTAGGATCTATTTGTTTTTAGAAAACATGACATCATTAACTGTCTCATAAAAAAAATAAAAAATACCACAATGACGGAGTTTTTACAACTCTCTAAAAAATGATGCCTGCTATCCTCACCTGTCTGCGGTGTACTGTCATTGTAGGTGGAGATACTTCCACACACAGCTATTCTTCCACAGTTCTTCATCTGCTCCAGGGCAACAGTTGCAAAAGAACCTCCCACCTAAAAACAACAAAAAAACAAACAAAAACAAATTAAAGCTGCAAGCAGCGTTATGAGGGCCCTCGCACCCCGTCGCGTCGAGCCACGCCCAACACCTACACCCAGCATTTTCGATCTGATGTGACATTGATCGAAGTCAATGATGATTATCGTTGTCCCATTAGGTGGCGCTCTAACCATTACTGACAAATCGCATATCAAACATTTCCGAACTTGACTTTCGACTCATGCCCGCGAAGTTTGGGAGACTGGACATTTTACGTTTAGGGAAACGGGGTGGTCATGGCGGCACGTGGAGTTTCAATCACTTGCAAAAAAGCGGTAATCTGCTGTCACTCAAAAACACAAAGCTTTGCAATTTAACATCACAAATGCTCACATTTTCAAACAAGCAATCGTATCCTTCAGGTGAAGCCTTCCTCAGAGCCTCCTCCAGGGAACCCACAGTTTTGTAGTTGAAGGCCTCATCAAATCCCAGCTCTTTGAGAAAAACCACTTTGGCATCAGAGCCTGCTGAGCCCACCACCTTACAGCCCTTGATCTTGGCGATCTGTCCCACCACGGAGCCCACCGCTCCAGCTGCAGCGTTCACCAGCAGGGTCTCACCCTCCTTTAGACCCAACACGTCTTCTATCCCATAAACAGCCGTCAGTCTGCAGAGAGACAGAAACAGTAAATCCAGCTGTTGCCTCTTTGATTTCCATATTAATTATACCCACAAAAATAACTGCTTAGAAACTCTGCTTCAGCTCATCAACAGGAGAAAACATCTGGGGTTTGTCCTCTTACTGTCTTAAAAGAAGACTATTTTATGTAAATATTTCTCTATAAAATCACTCACGTCTTACTGTTACTTGTTTTTTTGATTTTAATGCTTTTATTTGGTTGCAATTTTCAACCTAATAACTGCTGGAAAAGTCAGAACATCCTGCCATGATTTAACATCCAATAGAAAATGACTTTGCAGGTTACTTAAATCTGCCTTACCCGGGCATCCCGATGGCACCCAGAGCCAGAGACAGGGACACATCTTTAGGCCACTCAGGCAGGATGGGAGTGAGGCCGGTCCCATCACTGATTGTGTGGGTTCTCCACCCACTGTCACTCACAACGTGGCTTCCCACAGGAAACGCTGGATTTTTACTCTGGATCACTCTAAAGGAAAACAACAACATAATAATCACATTAAAAAGCTTCTCATTGAGATGATAATTTGATAATGCTAGTAGCTGAAAACGCAAAATTAAACTGTAGATTATAAGTCTAGAGGTTTATCAGGTATTTGTTACTCAAATACCAGACTGAGCACTGATAAGCACCTGTACAATCGGTATGTGTATTTCTGCAATATTAGTTCATGTTATCACATGTTAGCCTTTCCTCTGTGTGACATTGCTTTGTGTGGAAAACTGACTGCCGAAGCAGATGTGTTCTCAGTGCTACAAACTCAATGTCTCAACATCTGGTTTTACTCTCGAGTCAGTGAGGAATGACACAAAGTCTTTGGTCATTAGCCGCGTTCTTTTTCAGTAAACATCAGGCATGCACATCACCGAGGATAAAAGCTTTCCCCGTGTGCTGGACTGTTTGTGTTTCTTACTTGGCCACCTGAGTTCCAATCATCACATCTCCTTCCTTCATGGCAACTCTGCTGAACGGCCTGATGAAACAAGCAGTGTGTTACAATATAGTCGAATACATTTTGAAATACATTTTCATCTGTATAAAAATGAGCTAAACGTAGCATTGCTATGAAAATGATTCAGTGTATGTGGTTCTGCTCTCTACTCACCTCATGTACGGGTCGACACTGAGAAACACAGCTTCCAGAAGCACCTCTGAAAACATAGGTACACACATTTATTTGACAAAATAAATATGTGTGTTGTTTGTGTGTGTGTGTGTATGTGGGGGGGGGTCTTTTCTGTCCTATCAGAGAGAAAAAAACAACAACAAAGTCCTACCTCCATCTGTGGGCTCAGGGAGCTCCTCCACCTTCAGCTCAAAGTCACTGTTTTTTGGGAAGCCGTCAAAGTGCTGAGTCATTACCCAGAACTTGGCTTGAACCATGATGCTTCTCTTGTATGGCAGCAGATATAGCTTTTAACTGCTTCTGTAAACATAAGAAGACATGAAAATCATCACCAGCCTTTTCACCACTCACAGGAAGTTCCTAAGTTTCTAAGATAATCAGCCAAAATCCATTGAGATGTGAGCGATTTTAGTGACACTGTGTAAATTAAATATTTCGCTGTACTTTGTTGATGGTCCTGACTCCCAGGCTGCTGCAGAGCCTTGCCCAGCTCAGAAGATGGGTTTGTGATTAAAATTTGAGTTGTAATTTATGTATTTTTTTGAATTTTCCTAATGTAAATTCATTAGGAATGCTTAGCATGCTCAAAAATACACACATGTACAATCATACGACTTATAAATGAACTCTTTTGTCTCATACAAAGAAACTAGTGATATGACGGCCGCGAACGAAACGGCTGTTAGAGCCGGCTCTTTGAAGTGAATGACGGGAGCTGTGGTTTTTTTCCCCCCTATCCTTTCTCTCACTTTTTTCGCTTCACGTCGCACGTGAGCCTTGTGTTTGGGCTGAGCAGAGGGGGGAGTTACACTCGAGGTAGCACAGGAACAGAGCAGGAGGGAGAGAGAGAGAAAGCCAGGGGCAACAACATCATCACATTAGAAAAGTATAGTAAAGAAAATGAGTTCCCCTCCTGGAAGCAACGTGAGGGATCTCAAATATCTGATGTTACCAAACGAAGACGTCAGGCTTGGATAGCAGCGGCGAGACGAGCTGATATCGAGTTCTCTGCCATCATTTTTTGTTGGTGTCACATTTTCATTCTTGTAAGTTTTGCGGCGTTACGTCAACTCCAAAGCCCTATTAGACAGTTTTTGCAGAAGTCTGTGACCCCCAGCAAGACAGAACTCAATACTGAATATTTATCATTATTCAGCATGAAAAGTCTGATAGGAGTTTTCTGTCTTATAAAACTTTCTGAATCCTTTATCATCAGTTGTGGATGATAAAGGATTCAGAAAGTTTATTCATGCACTGAATCCTATGTATGCAATTCCAAGCAGGAAAACACTCTTCCAAAAAAAAATCATCCCAGAGAACGTGCATCTTTGGGTTTTTTTTGTTTGTTTGTTTTTTTGCATATTTTAATTTATATTTTATTGTGTTGTGGTTTGCAGTGTTTTGTGTTGTTTCCCTTTAAATTTGTTTAAAAGGAAAAAGCTTAAAATTTAAATAGTTAAAAGTTGAATTGTAAATAGTTGTTTTTTGTATTTTATAATTTATTTTTTAAATTTATGTGGAGTGAATAAATAAAAGCATATTTATATAATAAACATATATAAAAAAAAACATGTTTTTTTATATTAGTAATTCATTTTGTGTATAATTTTATATTGTTGTTGATAATAAATTAATTAAGCAACAAAATAACCTGAAGATCAGGTTGGGAGCCGAAGGAGGGTCTTTTTAGTGAGTCAAGCCGAAGGAGTCGGTTCTCTAAAAAGAGCCGGATTTCCCATCACTAAAAGAAACGGTTAAAGACTGATGTCAGCAGGTGGATCTCCAGTTTCGGGGGATGGGGGGAGGGTGGCGAGGACGAAGAGCTTGTATCTCCAAATCTGATTGGCTAAAAGTTTTGCTCCGCCTCTGACGCTAGTCATGCGTTGCAACGCGCGCTCTGTATGGATGTTTTGCCGCGAAAAAGCACGACTTGTTTATCTTTTTGGCGCCAAACGACTCGCTGACAGCCAATCCTTCTTCAGTGAAAATTGTATATTACTGTACTTCAGACATAGTTTGTCACATGAAAAAAAACCCAAAAAACAGCTTTTTTAAAAAAAAATCCACAGACAGGTTTTCAGTAAAAACACAAAGCATGTGGCTCTGATGATTTTTAAATATTTTATTTCACTTGGTATAAATGATCTTTATTACTATTATTACGACTGTTATAGCTAAATTATTTAAAAATTCTAACAAAAGAATTTCTTAAGTATGGGAGAATGTGTCTTTTATTATCTCATAACACCTGTTTCTTCTGACTATAAAGTATCTGACTATAAACTATCTGATACTGTCACTATCGGATTATAATTTCCCAGATATTGTTATGGGAGCAGTAATTCATTAGGAATGCACAATTTCTTAGCATGCTCAAAAACACACATGTACAGTCATACGCACACACAAAACAATGCAGGAAGCGTATCCTGCGGTTTTCAGTCGTCATAGACTTAGAAATGAACTCTTGTCTCATACATGTACTTCGTAAAACCCACTCCAGCGTCCATGTTCTTTGGCAAATAATACTGACGCAGACTAACACATTAAAAGTGAGTTGCAACTCCCTCCTGTAGCTGCACTTCCTAAGTTCGCCTCTTCTACTGAAACAGTACAGCTGAGTAAATCCTATTATTCCACAAATAACGATATAAACTGGAGCCTTGCCTTACCGATGAAGTGTGTAGTGATGTGTCCTGTGTGTCGAAGCTTCGATACCTGTGTCGGGTAATCTCGGGGAAGTTTTTGTGAAGCGCGTGTCGAAGCTTGCTTTGATTACGTATGCAGTGACGTTCGAGGCCTCGCGGGCAGTCCGTACCACGTGACTGATTCAGGAACTGGCTCGCCAGATTCGAAATAAAATGGGCAGCAAAACACAGCTGATTCCTACGGAAGCGTAGAGCTGCCACCCAGGCAAAAGAAAAATACAAGTGTATCACGTTATAACGTGAAAAGTTTATTGTTCTAACAAGATACTTTTCCTGTTTGTACAATATACTATCATGTTTGTACAATATACTTTTCACGTTTGAACAACATAATATCACGTTATTACAATATACATAATCATCACGTTCGTACAATATAGGATCACGTTCATACAATATATTGTATGAACGTGATCCTATATTGTACGATTCCCCATCACACTGTTGTGGAATTGGATTACGTACGTGCTACATAGTTTCTTGAGCATTTCTTCTTCGATGGAACCAGCAAAGAAGAGATTTTTTTTAAATCTCATCTCTTCTAATAAAGTATGCATACAGTAATAAATATCACAAATGATAAGTACCATAATATAAATAAACAACACTACAGATCCTATAATCTGATTTCTATCTTTTAGTTTTTTTAAAAAGTGAAGCGCCACACACTAGTTTGTGTCATTATCCAGATGTACATAAGCATGATTACACAGTTACACAATCATACCAAAACTCTGTCCTGATAGTTTCAACTTTCTCTTTTGTATCAGACATACTGAGACGATATTTGGGATAAATAACCATGAAAACAATTTATTTATTCAGTTTAGAGGTTTACACATCACATCATTATAATCAAAGAGCCTGTTTCACATATATATAATATAGAGGGGGGGTGTTCGCTCAGGGCACCAAACAGGCTAGGACCGCCACTGAAAGAGCAGATAGGTTGGCTAAAGCAGCTGTTAAAAAAGTTGATATAGATGTACAGATACCACTGTCAGAATCTGAAGGGAAAAGTATAGTTTGGACAGAAAGTAAGAACTTCTGGCAAATGAGATAATGAAACAAAAGGGAGACATTTATATAGGGTACAAAACACAATAGAAGTTATGAGGAGTAGTGGGTTAAAGAGACAGGAGGAGGTTATTATCAGTAGAATACGAACAGGTCATTGTTCTCTAAGAGGTACTCTTTTTAGGATAGGAAAACATCCGACTGGGTTGTGTGATGGGTGCAATGCTATGGAGACGGTTGAACATGCGCTTATTAGTTGTAGGAAGTATGTAAGTCACAGGAGGGTGATGAGGGTTGAAATGAGTGGTGGAAGGGAACTTAGTGGTAGTTCCGGAATTAAATATCAAGTTTGGGAAGAGAACATCAAACTTTTTGAGTGTGTATGCAGTAGAGTTGTATGCCATATTGATGGACTTAGAATGGGTAATAATATGCACTGATTCATTGTCAGCTGTGTTAAGTACAGAAAATGGGAATACAAGTAGTAATCAGACCATTCTGTATGAAGTTATGTTTGCTCACCATAGTGTGTGTGAGCAGGGCAAAAGTGTAGTAATAATGTGGACACCAGCTCATATAGGCATTATGGGGAATGAAAGAGCAGATAGAATGGCTACGGAAGTTGTTAAAAGAGTAGACATTGAGGTACAGATACCATTATCTAAATCTGAGGGAATGTGTATTGTTTGGAGTGTAAGTAAGAAGTTGTGGGAAATGGCATCGGATAAGGAAACTAAAGGGAGACAATTGTATAACGTACAAAATACAGATACAGTAGAAGTTAAAAGAAATAAAGAAATGAATAGGCGGGAGGAGATTGTCATGTGTAGAATAAGAACAGGGCATTGTTTCCTGAATGGCACTCTTTTTAGGATGGGGAAGCGTTTAACGGGGCTGTGTAATTGGTGTGGTGTCATGGAAACAATAGAGCATGTATTTCTTATCTGCAGAAGGTATGATAACCACAGGGGAATGATGAGGATAGAATTGGGAATTAGGGGGGAACTCAGGTTTGAAAAGGTGGTTGACTGGCTAGGATGTCATGAACGGAAAGGAGTGGTTCTTCGGTTTCTGAGAAGAACGGGGTTGTTTAAGAGGATTTAAAGAGCTAAGTGCAGTCTAAGTAACACCAGAGGGTGGCAGTAATGCAACCTCGATGGCTGCAAGCTGCCGTTAAACTGGAAGAAGAAGAGGAGTTGGCAACACTGCTCGGTTTGGATGTTTGGCGCGAACCTATAAATGGCGAGAAGAAGACGCTAAAGACCGGAGGTTTCGTCTTTTAAAATTAAAATTGTGAGTATTTTGTTGGCAGTTTACTGTCTGGTTTGACGCAAAATGTTCAGATAACAAGCGAAATACAGCAGCCCTTTACAGGCGTACTTACGAGTGTAGCCATTCTCTAACCATCGACTAGCTAGTTAATGCACAACGGCTGGTATGCTTAGGTAGCTCGGTAGCTAGCTGTGACAGTTGTATTATCATAGCCGTCAGTGCTATCGGTGTTTTGTCTTAAGCTCATATGCTTTCATTTGTTAGCTTTTAGTATTAGGTACAGGATCAGTTATATATTTTTGTAATATTGTGGATTCCTAGTCAATTCTGTGTACAAATATTTTGTATTTGTATACAAAATATTTTGTGTACAGAATTTCTTAAGTAATTGTTAAGTCCAAATTGTTTTTATGATGTCGTGGAGGTTTTTGTCATATGAATTTAGAGGTGTTGTGGGGAGCAGGTCAAAGTGACCCTGTTAAGAAGAAGAGTCAGTAGATGCCATACAATACATGTGTAAGAGAGGCAGGTATAACAGTGAAGCTGGAAGGAGCAGAGATGGTGAAGCTAACTGAACGAAGAAGAAATGGCTCTGATGATGTTTTACAGGGAATGTTAAGAAATGCCATGATGAAATACTGAAGCTCTGGGGAAATCATTTCAGGGTTACGATTATGTGCATTTTGATTGTTTGGTTGTCAATAATGAACTGTGTTTTCAGTTTATGTTTATGTGTTATGCAGTGTTTTGAACTGATAATGTAGCTGACCAGAAAAAAATGCACATTAACCCAAGAATATCCTTAGTCTAGAAAAGTCAGAATTATGCTTTGCTGTATATTTTTCTTGCCTCATGTGCCTTCATCTAATCTTCTTTGATCTCCATTGTGTTGCTGCATGACTGACTAGCACAGTGTTGTGGGAAACAGGTTAAACATGTTAGACGGTGGACAGTTTGTGGAGGCCCTAGGCCGCCTGGGTTATCCTGGTTCATCATCACTGAAGGCCTCAGAGTTCGACTGGCTCTTTGACTGTGCTCCGGAGAACCTTCACTTCTTGCGGTTTGTCTGTCGGACTCTCAACCAGAGCAACGTCCTCACCCCAGAGGAGGCACGTGCCTTTCAGGAGCTACAAAATTCCGGCAAACCAATTTTAGATGAAACCGCCTTGAGTGAAGTTCTTAAAACCATTGGAAATTCACATGGGAGCAGTGGTAAGATCTTGGGGTCATCCTCTTCATCATCTATGTTTGCGGCAGAGGAGACTTTCCCTATAGAGGACTTGGAGGCAGAGCTCCAGGCCCTGCGTAAAGAGAAAGAATTGAAGCAGCGACGTTATAACAAGCTGCAGGTTGTCGCCACTTCCCGTGCAGATGTTGACCTGCGACTCACTGCAGAGCTGGAGAGCACTTCATGTAAGCTCAACGAGGCCAACTCTTCTATTGGAGCTGAGAATGCTGACACCAACACACTGTTACAAACCCTAACAGATGAGGTCAGCAATCTTGCATCATATTTTCCAGTTCAGCCAGAAGCCAAACCAAAGGGAAAAGACCCTCCTGTTTCCCAGAAGCCCACTTTTCTCCTCTCTCTGCTTCCCTTGGATCCATACCTGCATCAGGAGGAGCTCAACACTAAAGCACTTGCTGCCTTCACACAGAAACATTTTTTCCAGGGCATATCAGCCATTGTTGAGAGTTCCTGTTCTGAGCGTTTCCAGGTCCTTGACCTCAGTTCTTGTGATGATGGAAAAGAGGAGGAGACTGGGCACGAGGGAGAGGAGCGGCTGGTCGATCGCAGGAGGACTGAGATGGCCAGACTTCAGTGGTCTCATATTGTTGCTCAGCACCAACTGATGCAGGCTATGGCTGAGGAGAAGAGCGTCAGGGCTGGACTAGACTGGCTGTCAGACAAGTCTTCTCATACTAAGGTAAAGTAAACATGTTGTGACTGTTTGTCTTATTAATGCTTTGTCTTCCTCTATAAAGTGCTTTCTTACATCTGTCTTTATGCTACCAGAGCATTTCCACCTCCTCCTCATTACATGTGCGTGAGGTTGTGTCCAGAAAGGAGCTGCAGGCTGTGGAAGCGGAGCTTGAAGCTCTGCTTCATGGACCAGTACCTGCTGCCCTGAGGGAGTCAGCCAGACTGCTTAATTTACCAGTAGTGAGGGGAGACCTGGCTTTGCAAGTGGCCAGGCAGGACTACTACACCTCCAGACAGAATCAGGTTAGCAGCATTTCCACTGATTATTACATTACGAGATTTTAATGTGAGATAATTCGTTCTCAGCCTGTCTCTCAGACAGGTAAGAGGTCAGGCCCAGATGTTGAAAAGCAATTATGGTGAAACTGAAAACTCATATAAACCATTAATGATATTCTTGATATCAGATCCTTGAAAACACAACATTTTTAAAAGACCATAGCCTTTAAAAATGCCCTGAACAAAACAGCTGAAACTTTAAGTTCACTTCAAAAAAAAGGCAATGGTTGTAAGCTAGCATATTCGTAAGCATCATGTAAGTGCCATGTATTTGGTCCTTTGTCTGTCAACAGACACCTGTATTGTGGAAATTGTGTAAGATTTAAGAAAGTTGTGGAGCCACCGTTCCTTGTCATTACATGTCCTTTTAGGAATTGGAATCCATCAAACTAAATCAAGTGTAACACTGTCCACCCAGGTACGAGACTACTTGCTCCGTCAGAAAGCCTGTTTTGACTTGCTCCTACTGGCTCAGGAGATGGAGTTAAGAATGTGGAAGACGTGTCAGAAGCACCTGTGTG